CAATTCTCCTGCCTCAGCCTCCTGAGTCGCTGGGATTACAGGCACGCGCCACCATGCCCAGCTAATTTTTTGTATTTTTAGTAGAGACAGGGTTTCACTAAAGTAACTTTTATACAAAGTGATAGAGTGAAGTTTTGAATCCTCGATGCTATTTCTGCTATGTGAATTGAATGGTTTCATCTTTTCTGAAGGAGTAGAATGGTGGGCTTCCTTGCTTAAGCCATTTCTTTAATGAAATGCTTGACGAAGACCCTAACAGCCACCAAGCTATGGAGGATCTTACTCAATTATCTCCAGAAACCTGGCCAGGGGGAATGGGTGAGGGAGAAGCTGAAGGCAAGGTGAGGCTGTGTGTGTGCTGGGTTTCTGAGACGCTTAGGGTTAGAAGAGGGAGTTGAGGAAGGGCCAAAGTAGAATTAAATTCAAATGCAGGTGATTTCACTGAGGTGAAGAAAATGATGCCCCCCCCTCCGCCTCCACCCCTCACAGCTGCAGTGGGGCCCAGCTTGCAGCTGGGAAGCCTTTTGCACTTACACTCAGGCAGACAGTTTTCTGGGAGCCAATGTTTGCTTCCCTTTCTCCTGGGACTTGGAGAGGGAGAGGTGCAGAGCAACAATGAGAGACCAAATAACCTAACTCAAGGCCAAACAAATGCTTTTTCTTGAAGGTATTTGGGGATATGATCTGCAACAGAGCCGCTCATCACCTCTTTCTAATTTTGGGGCCTCATGTAGGGGAAGAGCTCATTTGCGTCTCTTGGGATATAAGCCAGCTAGAATAGATACTTCACTGAAAGACATCTGTGCACTTTGTCCTGATCTGAGCTCACTGTGAAGGGCCTCTGAACTTATCAAGCAGCTCCAGGAAGTGGAAGAGGATCAAAGAACACGTGAGAATCATGGTTTAAGCTTCTTTTAAAGTCAAGTTTGGATGTGCTGCGAAGAGAGAGGAGGCAGCTTTCTTGTCCACGGGCATCACACAAAGAGGAGAGCTGTGAATCCCCACAAAGGACCACTTGCACCATAAGCACCGGAGCAGGGGAGGTGTGGCCTTGTAACGTTAGATTATTGCGCCCTCCTCACACCCTCCAAATCAGAATTTGTTGGGTGGGGGTCGGTGAGAGTAGGTCCCAGCAGTCAGCAAGTCAAACAATCTCCCAGGTGACTGTAATGTACTAGAAAGTTTGAGGACCACTGAGTTAAAGCATGGACCTTGGAGAGTTCCAACCCTCCTTCTACTGCTTATCACTCTGTGATCTTTGGCGAGCTATTGAACCTCTCTGAGCTTCAGATTCTTCCTTACAGGATGGAATAATAATAGTATCTCCCTCCTCCCCAAAACCTAAAATGCAATAAAAAAATAAATAAAAATTAAAAAAAAATAGTATCTCCCTCACAGTGCTGTGGGGAGGATTAAATGAGATAACATATTCCCAATTAAAAATGATAGTTATTAAATTTTTTCTCCCATTTTTCATTATTTTTGCTTCCCCCTTTGAGTAGGAAATGCAAATGTATTTTTCTCCACTTGAAGCACGCCCTCCCCTTTCCTTTCACCGTCAGGTGTTTGGCATCTCAAACCATTTGTTTAAAGCCGTATTAAAAACCTAGGCAAAGCAGAGGCTCCATACAGTGGCTAAAGATGTTTACCATCTGGCACACCTCTCTGAGAAGTGCCTACCGGAGCAGTGCCCCTTTCAGATGATCTTCTCCCACCTTCCCACCTTCTTCTCCCAAAATTAAAACCCATGTCTTCAGTGGACCATCTATGTATGGTTCTTCTTTCTCTGTGTCAGGGCTAGAGTACCAATGAGTTAGCCATGTAGTATTATGCAGTATTATCAATCTCTTGTGAGTTTGGTGAATGGGAGTCATCAAGAAGATCCCACCTCCCACCTGTGTGGGCTGACAAAATACAGTTTTGTTTGTTTGTTTCTTGCTTTTTGAGACAGAGTCTCTGTTGCCCAGGCTGGAGTGCAATGGCATGATCCCGGCTCACAGCAACCTCTGCCTCCCAGGTTCAAGCAATTCTCCTGCCTCAGCCTCCCAAGTAGCTGGGACTACAGGTGCTTGCCGCCACACCCAGCTAATTTTTGTATTTTTAGTAGAGACAGGGTTTCACCATATTGGCCAGGCTGGTGTTGAACTCCTGACCTTGTGATCTGCCCACTTCAGCTTCCCGAAGTGCTGGGATTACAAGTGTGAGCTACTATGCCCAGCCAAAAATACAGTAGCCTTTAAAATGGAAAGCCAACTCCTGGACCTAAGTTGACCCCAGGAAAGCACAGATATTTGTAGACACGACCTCTCTTTCTTACCTCTTAATCATTCCAAACTTAATAATGCCTCACAACTCTACCTTTGACATACTCCTTGGGGTGTACCTTTCAGACCCCCCCCCCACGGCTGATGATCATTGGAACCTAGATTCTTTCATTTAACAAATAATTATTGCGTTAAGAAGGGTAATCCCAGACATGGCTGTTATTAAGAAGAGCTATTCGACTTTTTAAACCAGGAGTTAACTCTCGCTATACCTTAGGATCACCTATATAGCTTTGAAGAAAGATTCCTGGGTCCTGCTCTTGGAGATTCTGAATTAGTCGGTATCAATACATTTTAAAAGTCCTCTACCCAGATGATTCTAATGTACAGTCAGGGTTGAAGGCCACTTCTATATTAAAAAACATTGTTTTTTCTAAACATTATGCCGTAAAGTTAAGACCATTACTTTAAACTAGGTGAATTCCCTCATTCCACAAATGTTGAGTGCTTATCATGTGCCAGGCATTGTGATACACCCTGGGAATACATCCATGAACAAAAGAGACAAATATCCCTACCATCCATAGATTATGATGTTTTAATGGGAAAGACAGATAATAAATAAGGTAATAAGATATATGTTAGGTTAAATGACAGTAAGTACAATGGAGAAAAAGAAAGTAAGGGAGATAGAGAATGCCAGAGGTGGTGTGTGATCGAATTTGAATTAGGGTGGTCAAGGAAAGCTTCACAAAGAAAGGGGCAATGAGGAAAACCTGAAAAAGGTTTCTGGTGTGAGCCATGCAAAAATCTGGAGAAAGAGATCTTTGGCAGAGGTCACAGCCAGGACAAAGAGCTGGATTCAGGAGTATGTTTGGTGTGTTCCAGAAAAAGAAGTCTAGTGTGGCTGGAGGGAAGTGAGTGAGGGGAAGAGAGGTAGAAGATGAGGTTAGAGAGCTCAGAGGGTTTGTGATACCAGGTAAGCAAGTTGCTTACAGACTTGTAGGCCATTGTAAGGATTAGGACTTTTACTTTGAGTGAGATGAAAAGACATTGAATGGGTTTAAGCAGAGAAGTGGTGTGATCTGAATTACAAAGAATCACACTGGCCGCTGTGGGGAGGATAGGGTAGCAAGCATGAAGAAAGGGAGGCTATGTCAGGGGTTGGATGTTCTTGAACTCTCCTATTCTCTCGCCCTGTTGGGTTACGGGGAGGGGTGGGGTGGTTTGTGACCTAGGACTTTGTGCCATATGAAAAAAGGAAATAACTAAGATGTGACTGTGTGTAACATTTGCAGATCTGGCTTCTTTGGATCAAGAGCCAAACAAACACGCCATGGTAATTTGAATTTCTTCTTCTTAAGCCTCTTATTCCACTTCAGATCCCACTCCTGACCTATTCTTTGAGGATTCTTAGATACATTTCCATCCCCTGTAGTGACCTAGGTCTCTTATCCTGCTTTATTTCCTGCTTTTGACAGAGGAAAAAGATAAAGACTTCTGAATTGATGTGAGTGGAGATCTTATTACAGTAGTCATCTGTAAAAGAGCAGCAGGAGGTAGAGATGTTTAATGTATAAAATGGTCATTGTCCTGGAAAAAAATCAATACCATAAATGTGAATTTAATGGGACCCCTTGGGGAATGAAAGTCTGGGCAATGTAACATTTTAGTTAATTGAAAGGTAACCCAGTCTTCACCTTTGGTTTTTTCCCCCTTTTCTGTGAATTAGCTCTTGTTTCTGAGTATGACAAAGTGTTTGCTGTGTGCATATAATGTGCCAGGTACTGTGCTAGGTGTTTTACACACATAGTCCTGTGCAATCCCTGTAACAACTGATGATGTAGATGTTTTCTTTATTCCCATTTTAAGTTGAGGAAACCAAGGCTTAGAGAAATTAAACCGCTCACTTGAGGTGTCTTAGCCGATAAATGCCCAAGCCAGCCTGTCTGATGCTGAGACTCAGCCTCAGTGATCAGTGTGCTCATCATGGACACTTTTGTGTGTAATTCCTGGACTTCAAGACAGGGACTTAGCATTACCCTGCCAGCCATCTTGAAAGACTGTTCAGGGTTAGAAATGGAGGCAGAGACAGAGGGTCAGGAGCATGGGCTGTGTGATGGCAGTCTTTGGAATGGGGTCCATTTATTGTTATTATTTTTTAAAGTAAAAGCTCTAATATTAACCTGTTTTCTTGTTACTAGTTTCTTCTCATGGACTGCAGAAAAGCAGTGTTAACTGATAACAGTGTTATGATGTTACTGTAACTATCAAAGCTCCTTAATTGGGTATGCCCAATTTTTATTTTTGGTGGGGAGCAGGGTACAAGGAAATCAATCAGAATAAGCTATAAATCTGAAATCCAGACTGTTTTAAATAAGTACAGTCTTGTTTCATTTTTAAAGTCACATTTAGTAACATGAGCTAATGCTAACAAAGTGAGACCTATTTTAATAAATAGATAAGAAAAAAATCATTCACTGTTCTATGTAAATGAGTTCTTTCATAGTTTAAAAATGAGGCTACTCATTTGCTTAACAGCTGATTTTCCCAGATCAATGCCCGATACCTTGATCTCAGCCTTGGTCTGAATAACTGCAAAATTTAAATGAGAAGTTCTGTGCTGGAGAGTTTCCATCTGCTTCTTCAGGTCCTCACTCCATTCTTCACCTTGCACTCTACCCTGGGAGGCTGACCTGTAGGGATGACATCAAGAGTTTCTCTTTCCTTAGTCAGGCCATCATGGTGAAGGCATCACCAAATCCTGTTCCTAGCCCTGGGTCACCCTGCCTGCACCTGTATAAATAGTACATTTATTAATATTAATCATTTCCCCTCTCCGAAATAGCAATTTTGAGTGTGCCATCTATTTCCTGCTGGGATACTGATTGATACAGGTTTTGAATTATGTCTATAGCTTTATTTCATGTATAGGTCTGAGACTTTACATGAGGGTAATATGACCATAGTACTAATTTGAATGTACAGAGCACTATACAAGTCCAGAAGTTTACTGGGGAGTGTCTGGGAATGCAAAGGACAAAGGAACAATCACAGACCTGCCCATCAGATTCCTGTGATGTGGGTTTCAATAATCTGAGTATGGATGGATAGATAATGACTGGGCAAGAGGTAAGACTAGATTAAGGAGTGATACTAACTTGTCCGGTTTTTTAACTTCCTTACCAAGATCCTCTGACTGGCATTGGGTCTTGGGGATGGGGTTAAGGCAAGAGACCCCTATAGACTGGATTCAGTGCCCACAACTGGTTCAAGGAGGAGGATAGAAACAACTGGTACAGGTAAGAGGCTTAGGAAAGGAGTATGAGTCAAGAATATAACAATGTGACCCAGGAGAACACCAGATTATAAACTCTTTGAGGGAAGAGATTGCTTGATGCTATTCTCTAATTAGTAACCAGTCAATAGACTGGCAAATAGTGAACATCCTATAAATATTTGAGTGAATAAATGAATGCAGGAAGACAAAAGAGCATACACACTTAATGCACAATGAAGTTACAAGACTACCCTAGGGAGAATCCCAGCCCAGGTATCAGGGCCAATGTTTAGTAATGAGAGTGATAATTTGTTTCCCATGGTTAGAAAAGCCCCAGGTCTGCACTGCATATATCTTCCTTTGGGCAAATTAGATTATTAGAGCCAAGGAATAAAACCAGCGGTCAGTTTGCCCACTGCTAATTTTAAACAGAGAAGACTTTGAGAAATTGGGGATCTAATTTGAGGAAAGTTTTCTTGGTGCTTGAGTAGCTGTACAAAACATGGGGATTTTTTTTTCTATTGAGAAAAAAAAAAAGTGCTCATATGGCCTCTGCTGTGGTCTGAATATTTGTGTCCGCCCCACCCAAATTCATGTGGTGAAACCTAACTTCCATTGTGATAGTATTAAGAGGTGAGGTTTTGGGAGGAGATTCATCCCATTCATGAAGGGATTAAGTGCCCTTATAAAAGAGACCCCAGAGAGTCTCCTTTATAAGGTTTCCTACACCATGTGAAGACACAGCAAGAAGGTGCCATCTTTGAAGAAGAGAATGAACCCTCACCAGACACTGGATCTGCTGGCACCTTGATCTTTGACTTCCCAGCCTCTGGAACTATGAGAAATAAATTTCTGTTCATAAGGTACCCATTTAATGATATTTTGTTATAGCAGCCTTAATCGCCTAAGACAGCCTCTTTTCCTAGAAACACGTAGATTATTATTTTCAGGCATTCTTATCAAAGATAACAATAGAAGATCTAGTAGTGAATCAGTGCATTATAGTTCTGTTGATATTTCTATTGCCAAGGCCAATTGTTTTACTTAAGAATACAATGTGCAAATAAGATGTTTTGGGGGTTTAAAAGTGAGTATGTGATTACAGGATCTTTGCCTTATCATTTCTCCTTCAGTTGGCCTCTTGAAGACTTCCACCTAGCAATGATTGGCAGGAGGGGGCACCTAAAGTCACACTCTGTGTTTTAAATTAAGAAGGCAGATTATAGTACTGGAGGGTTGGATGTTTTGCATGTATCAGATAATTTAGGAAGACTTTTCAGATTCACAGATATCACTATCAATCTGTGCTCCCCCACCTCCGTGTTAATCAGAATCAGTTGGGAACACCAATTTAAACTTCATCAGTTTGGACCAGACTGTCCCCTTCCAAAGATCTGAAATGGGTGGTTAGGCTGAATTTCAAGAAGCATGAGCAATGGTTTGGAAGAAATGGAGTCAGTGAAGTTTAATGAGCCAACCAATGTTAATGAATTATGATGATCCTAAGTGAATGCCCTCCTTTCTTCCCAACTGGCTGAACTTATAACATTTCAGGTCAGCCTTGGTCACTAGAGCCATTGAGAGAGAGCATCTTCATAGCCCCTGCGAGCATCAGCTGACACAAAAGAGGTCATGTCTTTCTTTTACACAATTTTAATGTAATCCTCACCAGCATTAGCAAAAATTGCTTTTTGGTGGCCGGAGGGAAGCAAAGAGCCCTTGACTGTCTTAACATCCTGACAGCCTCAGCTAAAATGGAAAATTATTGTGATGGGAAGATTGGCTTCAGAGACTCTGACCGGGGTAACAAGTTCAAATAAATTTTGATTAATCCATTTTCTTTGAAAATTTGTTGTGTAAAGTGGTCAAGGTCATAAAGAGACACTTCAGCTACTGAATCTCATTCACAGAGCGATTGCTCTGTCCTGTTCATGTAAAACACTAAATGTGCCACAATTGTGATAGGGAGACGGTATTCAGAAAAGGAAAAGGGAGGTACAGAAGGGGAAGAGGCATACGAGTTTATAGAGTAGGGATGAAAGTAAAGGAGGGAGGAGATAGAAAAAAGTGAGGAGTAAAAAAACAAATGTGAGGTGAGGGAAAAGGGGTTATAATTCAGCCCCAGCAGGGTATTGACAGAGCCATAAGGGCGTGCTGAAAGCAAGTGCTGGAGAGCTGAGAACTAAAACCTAGATTAGGGGGAATAAAAAAAATGGCGTAAAATCCAGCTTCTTGGTGAGAGGGCTAACAGTCCAAATACCAAGTTCAAACAAAAAGGGACCAGGTTTAATCTACTGGAGTCTATGGGGCTCTTTGCCTATGGAAAGTACAACAGGCGTGCAGTCCTGGGGGATGTAAGGCAGAGACGGTGACAATAGCCATTTCTACACTGGTCTGTCTAGTTTAGTCAGAACACAGCCTAGCCTTAAGATTAGTGTTGTGAGAGTTGGGGCCTAGAAGAGACAGAAGCTGCTAGAGCTCTTGCTAGACACAGCTGTCTCTGCTATTTAGAAGGACTTCCTGCTAAGGGAGCTGCAGGGCTGCTGCATGCACCTCTGTTAAGCGTGCTAAAAAGATAAAGAGGCTTTGCTCTGGCACTGAGTAATTCCCAATACCCTGGCAGCTGGGAAGGCCAGGCCTCAAGAGTGCTGGCCCCTACTTCCCTCAAGCCTTCTGTAAGGGAGAGGTTCAACCTATAGACCTCCCCTGAATATCAGGCTACGTGCCTGACCTTAGAACAGAAGAGGACTGTACTTGGAGGAGAGTAAGAGAAGAAACAAGGAGTAGGGAGTAAAGAAAAAAGACTGGAAGAAAGCAAGCATGCAAGATGTCTTAGCCCATTTTCTGTTACTTATAGCAGAATACTTGAAACTGGGTTATTTATTCATTTATTTATTTGAGACGGAGTCTCCCTCTGTTGCTTGGGTTGGAGTGCAGTGGTGCCATCTTGGCTCACTACAACCTCCGGCTCCCAGGTTCAAGCGATTCTCCTGCCTCAGCCTCCCAGGTAGCTGGGATTAGTCATGGTGTGTCACCATGACTGGGTAACTTTTTTTTGTATTTTTTTTTTTTTTTTTTTTTTTTTTTTTTTTTTTTTTTTTTTTTTTTTTTTTTTTTTTTTTTTTTTTTTTTTTTTTTTTTTTTGGTAGAGACAGGGTTTCACCATGTTCGCCAGCCTGGTCTCAAACTCCTGGGCTCAGATGATTCACCTGCCTTGGCCTCCCAAAGTGCTGGGATTACAGGTGTGAGCCACCATATCCAGCCAAAACTGGGCAATTTATATAAAAGTGGCACTTATTTCTTACAGTTATGAAGGCTGGGAAGCCCAAAGTTGAGGAACTGCTTCTGGCAAGATCTTTCTTGCTGATGGGAAATCTCTGAAGAGTCCTGAGGTAGTTCAGGATATCACATAGTTGAGGGGGGCTGAGCATGCTTATGTACTACCTCAGGTCTCTCTTCCCTTCTTATAAAGTCATCAGTTCTACTGTCATAATAACACATTAATCTATTAACTCTTTAATTCATTAATCCGTCAATGGATTAATCCATCCATGAGGGTGGAGTCCTAATGATCCGATCAACTTTTAAAGACCCCACTTCTCAACACTGCCATATTGGGAATTAATTTCCTTATTTCTCTCCTTCCTTCCTTCCTTCCTTCCTTCCTTCCCTCCACCTCTCTTTCTCTCTCTCTTTTCCCCTTCCCCTTCCCTCTTCTTCTTTTCCCTTCCCTTCTTTTTTTTCTTTCACTCTCCCTTTTCATTCCCTTCCCTTCCCTCTTTAAAGACAGTCTTGCCTTATTGTCCAGGCTGGTCTCAAACTCCTGGGCTTATGTGATCCTCCTAGGGCCTTGAAAAGTGCTGGGATTACAGGCATAAGCCACTGTGCCCGACCAGAAAATTAAATTTCAACGTGAGTTTTGGAGGAGACATTCAAGCTGTACCACAAAGTGTCAGAGAAAGCTGTAGAATCCTAGATTCAGGAAATTGGAGAAAAGGAAACATGGTAAGAGAAGGAAAGATCAAAGAGTTAGTCCTTCCTCATTTTGTCAACTTTGAACTTCAAAAATTAATTTTTTGAAAAGCAGTCTTGTTATCCAGTGATGATTTATGAACAGAAAGGTTTTGTGGATTATCTGCTAATTTGACCCTGAGTTATTTCTTTTGCCTGATGGTATGCTGCACATTGTGGTTGTAATTATTCCCTCAACTGTAACTGTTGCTCAGATACCATTCCTTGTGACATGTCTAGGATTTTCTGGATCATGGTGGTGGTAACAATGGTACTGGAGTGCCGAAGACATCAAGTGAATGGTATCGGGACCCTCATTCTTTCATGTACATTAACCAGTCTCAACATAATCTAAGGAAGTAGGCTGCCAAGTTAGCCTGGCTCTGCCTGTGTATGTGAGTTCTCAGCTGCTCCACTAATTAGGATCCTTTAAAAAGATGTGGCTACTCAGTTACCCTGCTTCCCAAGATAGTGAGGTGTGGCTGGCCACCCTTGCCACAGGTGCTAGCTGTTTCTGGCAGAGCCCCAAGGGAGCCAGTTTTCAGTGGCTATTTGCTGTTTCTGAAAAGACCAGGTACATCTGTGTTTTGTATTTTATATGCTTCCTCTGGCCAACTGCTTGCAGGTTGTGAGGGCCAAACACTGCAAATATTTGTCTGAGGTGGTTGTTATCCAGGATCTCTGATGTCAATGGAGGCAAAATTAATGCTAAAAGCAGGAACAGCCTCTCATTGACCTTTGGAATACATGTGTTTGTGCTTGATTCATCCCACATGTTTGGTAACCATCCTGAGTTTAACTGAAATGCTTAATAACATTTAAAGCTCTTTTTTTAAATATATATATATAATTTGAAACTTTATTTTTCCATTGGTAGCTAGCAAGCGTGTTTCTGGGGCTATGTGGTATATATATATATTTTTTCCCATTTATTTTATTGCATTTTAGGTTTTGGGGTACATGTGAAGAACATGCAAAATTGTTGCATAGGAACACACGTGGCAGTGTGA